CTGCGAGTTGTGTACGCCATTTCTCGCACCTACAGCTGCTGTGCCTGGGCAGTCTTTTGCCCGATGGCCAGAGACACTGCAGCGCCAACAAGTTTGAATTTGACCTTTGTGGCATACTCTTACGGTACGGGAACCTACTCGCAAGCCAGAAGGCACAGCCTTCCTCAAGGAAACTTTGACATACCTGGTCCCGGTGTCAACTGCAAAGCCCTCATGGCTAACAATCTTCCTCTTTGGAGGACCATGGACCCGACCATAGAGTGAAATTTCATGCACAAGAGCACCATCTTGCAATGACAGGGGGCATCCGAATACATGGAGAGTCGTAACTGGCATGCCTCCCATTACAACTTCGACATTCTTACTGGCAAATACGAATTCTTCCTCTGACGTCAACAGGCGGTCGCGCACTCCTTGCGTGACGAAGGTGACATTGCACCAGCTAGGCTTCCCGTTTAGGTCCAGTTGGCTGAGTTCGGAGGGCTGAACACCCAGTCTAGACAGCTCCTTGATAAAAAATACATGGTCCAAAGGCCAGTCCTTGTGGACCCTAAACATAAATGAGGCAGGAGCAGAAGCTCCAGAAGTGCTCCCGTCCTCCATCGTGAATTGGTCGTGATCGTGGGGCGATATGATGGAACGCAGCCATTGGAGCGTTATCTTGACCTGTTCGAGGACCTCTGTTCCAAGAACGAGTTCGAAGAAAGCGAATGGCTGCTGCGACTGTAGCAAAGCGGAGAGGATATGTATTGGATGCAATAATAACGAGGAAGCAAAGCGAGAGTTGCTTGCCTCGCTCGGAAAGACTCCGGATAAAGCATGGAAGACATTGCTGACAGGCAAGCAGCGGTCAGATGAGTCGTTTCACCAATACGTTGTCCGTGTTTGCCGAGAGGTAGAGTTCTGGGCCACACTCGCTATGACAGAAGATGGCGAGGTGGACACCAAGTATAGCGCCGATATAGGTAAAATGGCCCCGGTGCTGCAAGCAAAGGCAACACAGGTAATCTTGGAGCAATGTGGACCTGAGATGAAGACGTACCTGGTCGAACGGCAGTGCTACGGGATGTCTCTGCGCCAGGTACAGGAGCACGGCGCGTCTTACCAGGTCGCGCACGGACGACAGGGTGATACTGCCAGGAAGCCAGTAGAACGATCCGTGCCAAGGCCCACGGCGTCGGCACAGTGCATGGCGATATCGGTCGCAGATGCAGAAAAGCAGCTTAAGTCGCTGCCACAGGAAGGGAGAAAGGGTTTTCTGTAGCAAGAAAGACTCTGCTGGAACTGCCTTAAGAGAGCATGTCTGAGAATACCAAAGTATGTGTGCAAGTGGATCTCTCCGATTTCGCTCAAAATTTGCAGGTAGGTTGCCTTTGGGGTGTGGATCGATTGTGCAAAGCCCTTGAAAAATGTTCTGAAGGGAACCTTGAAATTTGCATACCCCTCAAAAATGGCCGAAATATCACATTATTTATGGTTCTAGAAACGAGTCACACCACAGCGTATACGAACAAGCTATGAACCAAACCCCATCAAGCCAACATTGCCTCACCTTAGAAGAGTTCCTGGAGCAGTACAGCTTAGCCACGCCAGCATCCCAGAAGACGAGGTCCATCACCCCCTGACGCCACAAATGATCGTCTTGAAAATAGCCAATTTACAAGCGCTGGCAAAACAGCCAGCTACGTCCTCAATTGGTCAGAACTATACACCGGCAGATCGTAGAACACCTCTTCTAGCGCTGAGGACATGTCCCCCATCTTCCTTTTGGGGTTTTCTTGAAATAAACTTTTTTGAATTTTTCCACTCGACCATGCTGAAATACGGCCAAAGTCATACCTGCGCAGGAAAGCTCGCCACTCAGCGACGTCTCCTCAGCAATTTCTACTCCAACACTACTCCCAAGGCCGCAGAACAAAGTGTAGTGTTGACTCTGACAAGGAAAAGCAGCGGTGATCACTTGTCACTCCAAACGACAAGCTTCTCCTTGCGCCACCAATAATTTTTTGTGCGACTGTTGATGCAAAAGTGACTGAAGGCCTGAGCGCAGTTTTTGAATTTTATTGCAAGATGCACGGTGAGATCGCGTGCTCTGTGACGTAGGATGACGCTTCCTGCATCACGATACGCGGCCGGCCATCGTTCGCGAATGTGCCTGGAACGCTACTCGGAACAGACCATGATGGCAGAGGTAAGATGATCTTCATTTCCTGCTTGAAATGCTGAGAACCCCCACAAACTGTCCTAGGAGTGTTGCAAAGGCAGCAAGCCGTTGAAATATGCCCCGTACAGCATGGAGAGTTATTCGTCTTTCACATTTACCTCCTGCAATCCCGAACATAGTCCAACAGTAAAAGTCCTTTGTTTTCATATCGATGCTCGACAAAAGCGGCTAGCTCGGTCCCTTTGTGTTGACTGGCACGCGCACGCAAGCAGCACTGGCTGCACGCACTTGTCGCGTGAACTGCACGAGAGATTTCTTACGTCATAAAGAATGTGATTTCATCATCATTTCCCTGGTCTTCGACCTACATGGTCAGGGAAAGTCCCGGTTCGTAGGCCTACAACACGGTCAGCGTGTTCTTGAGCGCAGTAACAACACAAGTGTGATCACTTCCAGACCAACGGGCGTTCAAGGCCAGTAACAAGCGCACTTGACAAAGGTGACTCTGAAATCTCGTGAGCCGTGGGCCATGCGACTTGGCATTCTTCCGTAACAAGGCACGTGATTTCACCGTGCATCTTGCAATAAAATTCAAAAACTGCGCTCAGGCCTTCAGTCACTTTTGCATCAACAGTCGCACAAAAAGTATTGGTGGCGCAAGGAGAAGCTTGTCGTTTGGAGTGACAAGTGATCACCGCTGCTTTACCTTGTCAGAGTCAACACTATACTTTGTTCTGCGGCCTTGGGAGTAGTGTTGGAGTAGAAATTGCTGAGGAGACGTCGCGGAGGGGCGAGCTTTCCTGCGCAGGTATGGCTTTGGCCGTATTTCAGCATGGTCGAGTGGAAAAATTCCCAAAGGTTTATTCCAAGAAAACCCCAAAAGGAAGATGGGGGACATGTCCTCAGCGCTAGAAGAGGTGTTCTACTATCTGCCGGTGTATAGTTCTGGCCAATTGAGGACGTAGCTGGCTGTTTTGTCAGCGCTTGTGAATTGGCTATTTTCAAGACGATCATTTGTGGCGTCAGGGGGTGATGGATCTCGTCTTCTGGGATGCTGGCGTGGCTAAGCTGTACTGCTCCAGGAACTCTTCTAAGGTGAGGCAATGTTGGCTTGATGGAGTTTTGTTCATAGCTTGTTCGTATACGCTGTGGCATGACTCGTTTCTAGACCCATAAATAATGTGATATTTCGGCCATTTTTGAGGGGTACGCAAATTTCAAGGTTCCCTTCAGAAACTTTTTCAAGGGCTTTGCACAATCGATCCACACCCCAAAGGCAACCTACCTGCAAATTTTGAGCGAAATCGGAGAGATCCACTTGCACACATACTTTGGTATTTTCAGACATGCTCTCTTAAGTATGGCCATATGGCCAGAGAATGTCGGTCAGGCTCGAGATGCACGAAATGCGAGAGGAAACACCACCTGCTAATACATGTGTTGGATAGAGCAGGTTACAGCCGGGAGAAACCGACTGAGATAGTAACAGGGAAGAATGGTAGATCATGCTGTCTACACTCGCCAAGGGTGCGGCTGATGACGGGAGTGGCACGAGTTGAGGGAAGAACTCGAAATGCGAAGGTTCGCGTGTTCCTGGACTCGGGTGCTGAGGCATCATTCGTGACTGCAGCGTTGGTGTCAGCAATCGATGCAGAACACGTTGGGGTTGAACATGTAGAGGTGAAGCCGTTCGGCCCGGAACCAATCCAACAGCGCATGGATAAGTACGCCATCACGATCCAGGGTAGCTCCGATAGCATTCGGGTACGCGCGTTCGTGAAACCAACGCTAGAGCTGGACCTGTAGTGCGCAAGTCCGCAGACCATTGCGCATTGGCACAATTGGGGAGTAGAGCTGAGTGACAAGCCTCAACAAGGAACATCAGACGAAATGCATATTACGCTGATGGGTGCAGACTATATCAACGCGGTACTGCACAGCAAGAAGGAAGTTATGATACGAGTTACGATAGTTTGAACAAGTCACTATTGACTCAACACGGACCCACGACTATGAGATGCAGGTTCACTGTACAGTGTACAGCTCGCGTCGTACTAGTACAACGGTCGTGGGGCATGCAAGTCATGTGCGTCGGACTAGTACGATGCTCGCGCTAAAGGGGTAAAGCTGGTTCAATAATAGCTCGCCTACTAGATGTTCTCTCCAGTTCCCACTTGCCAGATCATCGATCCTTTTAAAATCCCCTCTATTTAAGTATTATTCTCATTGGTCTCGGCTTTCGCAGGAGGCAAAATCCCGTGACACCTATGCTGCATTTTGTTCCATTCTGCACCCGCCTACCTAAGTTGGATTGATGACGTTAGTTAGTTCTCCTTTTGTTTTGGTTTCATTGTTCTTTTTCCTCCTTCTTTTTCTCAGTTTTCCCCACCATGGCTGGTTAAAATCGCCCGCATCACATGTTTATTGGCACTATGTCATCGTGACTGTGGAATAATAATAATAAAAAATGCGATGCTTTTGCTCGAAAACCCAGGTCTTCAAACGACGTTGATCCACAATTTGTAATGAACTGAAAACATTTTAGTGTGTTCAAATTATTTATGATAACGACCGCCGTGGGTCGATTTCTGTAATGCTGGTGGTGAGAGTGTTAAAATTGGGATGCGACTTGGTACAATGGCTTCTTCTTGTCCTGATCCTTCCATTGAACAATGGATCATGAATATCCATCACATACGGAGCTTTGAGCAGATGATCTCATCCCATTGCAAATGCCGACAATTCAGTGTAACGGATATGGAAAGTGTGAATGGCTGCATGGCATGTTACAAGATCGGTGACTTACAGTGTTGTTGCTGTATTCGGCATTCCACCAGGCACCATTGTTAATCCGCGAGCGGAGCAATCTACACGGTAAACAGGTGCACCAACACACGTACATGATGCTGGACAACTCATCACTGTAGTACCGGTGAGTACATAGTAGCAGATGACCAAGGACAGTACAGTGTGGATTGACATCTGTTAGACACAGGACACGAAGATGTTTGCCGTAGTCATCATCACATTCGCTCTCACGTTACTGGGTTCTTGGCAACAAACAAACAACAAACATGTTTAGCACCGCTGGATTAGTCACATCATCTTTAACAACATCTGGAAACCAATGAGGCCAATAATGCTGACTGCGAGGGTATTAATAATAATAATAATAATAATAATAATAATGACAGTTCGCATTTCACTCATTGCATGAGGTCAACGCATCTGTTAACAATTTTGAGCCCAGCACCTCTATCAGAAGCAGATTGCACAGCATCCAGAAGCGACAGATTGATGCATTGTAAGTCTTTCTTGACAACGTCGATCCACTTCAGACGTGGTCGTCCTCGGGGTCGTCGTATGTCTGTTGTGTTGATTGACATTAGGAGGGCTTGGAAAGAGGACGATTCTTCGCCTTCCCTCACTACATGGCCGAACCACAGCAGTCTCCGTCGCCTGCAGACTTGGGATAGTGGGGTCTGCTCGGTTCTGGCATACAGCGCTGCATGTGTTCGAGATTCGTTGTGGGTACGTGATACCAATGATGGTACGTAGTTTCTTCCGGTGCCATACATTGACGACGTCGGTTAATGTTTGCGATAAGGTCCAAAGCGCACAATTATACAGCAAGACAGGCAATATCAGGCAGGAAAACATACACAGCCTGGAATTCAGGTTGTGGCGTTTCCATGGAATGCTTGCAAATGCCCGATTTGCAGCAGACACTCTGGCTGCTATGTCTTCTGCTGTGCCTAGCATACTCCCCAGCAGCTTCACCGATTTCCAGGAATCATCTTCCTTGGTCACAGTGAAATATTGAGTTTTTGCCACGTTCAGCTTCAGATTGTCATCCGAGAAAACGGGTTCACACACACGGACGGTTTCTTCCACAGATGATCGCTCGTTCTGATGGGCAGTGGTGTCGTCTGCGTATTGTGTGAAAGTTGCTGGTAGGTCTGACGTGGGTAGAGCTTGCTCTCGGATCTTACGCATGGAACCTTCGGCGTAAGTTATAAACATTATTGGTGACATTGGGTCACCCTGGACGACGCCGATGTTCGTTGGAAATGGTTTGCTTAGTTGTTTACCAAGCTTCGTGCGGGCTGTTGTGTTCGATACTAGGACTGCAGTGGTGGACGTTGGTGCGCCAGCAGTGGCTAACCTCTCCAGAGCAACCTGACGAATGACAGTGTCAAACGCACCGCTGAAGTCCAATAGTGCCGATGAATATGACCAGTCGCCAAGTAGTGCGCGCTCACACATCGTCATGGCGTAAAAGACACCATCCGTGGTCGATCTGCCAGGGCGGAAACGAGGGTATTAGTCCTAAGTTAAATAATTCAGCGTCATGTGTCACACATAGATCCAGACCACATGCCTTTCCACTAATCTACCAGCACTGAAACATCCATGCCCTCGCCCTCTCTTGTAGTGATATCGCAAGGATCCGCAACACGCTGGCGACAGCACCAGGGGACGAGAAATACGAGTCATGAACTGATCCTCGGCAACAAATCAACAATGACGTCAACAGTCGCGCAAGATATCATGCTCTCTGAAGCCCTTTATGTACGGAAAATGTACGCCGACTGAATTTGATCTCGACTCACCTCAAATTCCATAATTCTCCGGGCTATGACTTTGGTCTCCTTTTGACGATTTTTTCAATCTTGCGCTTCCTGGAAAGCTCGTTGCAAGAGGAGCCTGCACTTGCCATCACGAATGTCAAAACTCTGGCGCTATATCCCAGTGTCTTAGTTGCCACGCCAATAATCCAACAGAAGTCGTCTTGCCATTTCGCTCTCAGCCTTGCTCGTAACTACTATTATTACTTCAGAAAGTTCACAAACTGCCACTAGTCCGTATGCCATTTTGACCGTGTTTCACCGTCACTACATGCCGAGAATGATTTTTTTTTTTTTTTCAATTGGGAAGGCCTCTTTTACGGGCAAAGCAAAGCACAATCATCACCATGTATCAGTACAGTGAGTAGTTAAACCCAACACGAATGAAAAATGTGAAATGGAATAAAAACAATATTTGAGCCTGGATCAGCAAAAACCATCACATGTGCAAATTTTTCGAAAAATATTTTTGTGCTCCAAATTGATCCACAACCACTGATAACCAGTCTCAAGAAATTTTAGATCAATCACAGCACCGTAAGTGACCAAAAAATGCGGTACACCACATCTCTGTACAAATGTTGGAAGTGGCATTTCTGTGTAGGATGCAAGTATGGGCGTTGGTATGTGTCTGATCCTGTCAGGCATTGCCATCACTCAGCCGGCTAACAAGGAGGAATTTTATAGTCCTTGGGGGTGTACTCAGACACTGGCTCGTCCAAGTAAATCATTGGCTTCACTGACCATCGCGCAGCTAACGGCATATGGCCAAGTTCCAGGGGCTGATATTGCATCCACACCAGGCTCTGTACTGATGCTCTCCAAGCCCTTCACTTCCATGAAAACATATCTGCACACACGGAGTGCAATCACAGCAGCTGTGACTACTTAGCACACAGGCTCATGAGCATGAGGTACGAACTAGGTGCAGATACATTCAACGGTTACCTGACCCTACAGGAACATATTTTTTTGAATTATTTTGGGAGCTGCTGCATGGACCAAATAAATGTTTCAAGTAACGTTCCTCAGTGTCCAAGCCAACAAAGCAGATCTTGTCTGGCGGTAGCTCTCGTTGCTCTTCCAGTCGTGAATCGAGACGCCTTTGCTCTGCATCGTCACTGTCGATATCCGACAAACTTACTAGTGAAGGAGTCGTTCATAGCTCAACAATATCCACTCGAGTCGTCGTCATTCTCATCAGCGCTGCTTTCTTCTACACGAAGTCTGCAGCCTCGCCGAGTCGCTTTGCGGCAGGAGAGAGTCGTCCTCTGGAGCTCCGCGGCTTTCACCTGACTCCCTTGATGAGCAATCGCCATCCCAGTCATCACCAAAAAATGTCGTGTCGTGATTGGCGTCAACGACGATCGATGCGCGTGCGATGCTCGCGCCCCGCGATCGTACCTATTCGCCAGCCAAGCTAAGGTACGTGGGGTTTCCCAGTCTCCTCACTTGCCTGGGGCTCGTCTAGCTAGCTAGTCACTGGCAAACAAACAAACACGGGCTTGTCAGGTGGAAAGAAACACTAGTGACAAGAAAGACAGAAAGGTGGTGGGTAGTTGTTAGGTCCGCGACTTTTCTTTCGCTCGACTTCAACGTCACTTTTTGATCAACTTGATATCAAACACAAGCGATGGTTTTCGCTGATCCGGGCTCATTTGTAAAAAAATAAATAAATAAAAATGATGGGGAAGTCCCTCATTCAAATCGGCGCACGCTGCTATTGCGCGACATTCGCCGCGATTCCACTTTCAGGCTTCGTAACTCTGGAACCACACATCGGGGCGCTTCCACGATTGTTTCAATTGACAGCTGTGAATAGTCTTTTCGACCTACATTTACGAATTTTAGTTCTTGGAAATATAAAAATATAAAAAATCATAAAGTATTTCGTGACATCCCGACACTCATCATTAGTTCTACGCAGCAGGCTACTACATCTACAGCTAAAGCCACTGCATTGAACTCTCAGTTCGCCTCAGTGGCCGTGCCTGATGACCCTTCTCTACCCATTCCCCCATTGCCGAGGAGTCGGGTGAGGTTGACCGCCTCACATCTGTCTTTACTACGACTGCTGCCATCGGACGTTACATTCGAAAGCTCCGGTCTCACAAGGCGCCGGGCCCAGATGGCATCACTAATCTGGTATTAAAGTCCCTTGCGCCCTCAATAGCATACGCCTTATGTCTGATTTTCAACCTAACATTCCGCACTGGTCGTTTTCCCTCTGCATGGAAAACAGCTAATATTATACCGATCTACAAGAAAGGGTCTCGCCACGAAGCATCAAACTACCGTCCGATATCTCTACTGTCCTGTGTTTCCAAACTCTGTGAGCGCGTTTTCTACGACCAATTGTACTGTAATGTCTCGTCACGTTTGAGTTCAGCTCAGTCCGGACTTCGCAGAGGCGATTCTACCACCCTTCAGCTGACGCGCCTGTTGCAATTAGTGTGTCGACATCGGGATGCTGGAGATCTAGTCGGGATCTGCTTTTTCGACCTTGCCAAGGTCTTCGATACCGTCTGGCATCGGGGGCTTTTGGCCAAGCTTCGTGGATCATTTACTTTAGACGGCAATCCCCTGCTATGGCTGACATCTTAAATAACTGGGCGAACGCAGTACGTCACGGTACATGGGACGTCCTCGGCCGACACAACAGTACTCCGGAGTTCCACAGGGTTCCATCCTCGGCCCCCTTCTTTATATTTTATACGTCAATGATCTGCCCGCAGCTGCCCCGGGCACCTCACTGTTCGCAGACGACACAACGCTCCTACGGGCATCTCCTAACATCACTGGCCTGATGAGTAACCTAGGTAACGGCATTCAAAGAGTAATTTCCTGGATGTCGTCTTGGCGGTTATCGCCCAATCTGTCTAAAACTAAAATCATGCTCTTTCCTTCTCAGCCTGATGTTCCGCCCCTCCTCCATCCCACTTTCCCCCAGCCTATAGACATAGTTTCCAGCCATAAGCATCTTGGCATTTTCATTGACTCTAATCTTTCATGGGAACCCCGCATTAATTACATATGTAAACGATCAAGTTCATCTTTAGGAATCCTCTCTTCTGACTGTTGCCCTATCCCAATCTCTTGCAAACTCCTCTTTTACTCAGCTTACCTACGCCCCATTTTTGATTATGCAGATACTGCTTGGGCTGGAATTTCCACAACCCGTGCTGCCAAGCTCGAAATTCACCACAAAAAAGTTCTCAAAATCCTCCTCCGGAAACCCCGCATGCTTCCATCTTCCACCCTTTATGCCCTTGCTGACACAACCCCTTTGTCTAAGAGACGTAATGCACATCTAGTCACCCTTATCCATTCTCTCAAACTCAATCTGTGTCCACC